AAACCAAGCATGACACAAGTTTCCCAAGATCTTAGATGCTCTAACTCAGTCATCATTCAAGGCATAAGTCACACTTAGCAATATACAAGCAAACACTATAATTGGAATCAGCCAATTTCTGGACATGCAAACAACAGCTACAAGATTTAGCTATAACTGGAGTTACACAAATCCAAATGACTTGAAAGAAGGCATTTTGGAAAGCTTATGAAATTTTATATAATTCATTTTTAATCATATTAGCATGATTCTCAAGTTAACTAAGTCAAATATACCCATTTACAGAAACTAATCCACAATTGACAGAGAGCAATCAATTCTGTAACCCAACTTTAAACAGGCATAACTCACAAACCACAAAACCAAATACCACCCAAATTTTAACAGCAGCTAGATACATGAATTATCTATAACTTTGTTATTATCACCAAAAGCTCATTCAAACCCAAACTCGATCAAACACTAGCATCTTTCAGATCTGCTCAGAATACAATCAAAACCTGACAGAAGATTAAAAGTCATGTAACTCCTACACTATCAGGCCTATAGCCTTATAAGTTGAACACAAGCAAGATCATGAAATTTGCTACAACTTTTGTATTCACTAGAACTATAGCAAACATCATTTACACCACGAAAATAATTGCACAAGCAAAACTGCAAATGCAACCCAACAGCAGTGGTACAGAAAACTGATAGGAACTTCAGAGAAGCATAACTAGAGTTCGAGACCTCCAACAAACATGAAACATAACTTTTTGAAAAGCTTAGGAAGTTACCTACAACTTTCCTATTCTCAGATTAAGATGATTCTACAGTTAGAAGGGTCAATTAATCCAATAATTGCATCTCTATCCAAAACATAGATAGAAACTGACATGCCACTTTAAACAGCTATAAATGGAGTTATACATGTCCAATAAATGTGGTTCTAGACTTTTTAGAAATCTTATCAAATTCTAAACAACTTTGTTGTAAACACCTAAAGCTAATTCTACTATTAAGAAGGCCCTACAGTAAGAACAAGGAAACCGTCTCTGGGTTTGGGCAGAAACAGCCACAGAGATTTAAGCAAGTATAACTCAAGATCTACTTAACCAAAAATCATGATATTTAGCTTTTTGAAAATCTTAATAAAAGTACTACAACTCATGTATTATCATAAAGTCATGATTCATAACTTAACTAAGCCAATTAATTCAAGCATGCAGGACTATTCAGGGTTGGAGCAAAGCAATATAGTACATTTGTTATTTTTATAACTCTAAAAATATAAATCCTACACTTTTGAAATTTTTACCAGACAACAACAATCACCTTTTGAGCACTCCATAAAAATTTCACATTTATTTGAGCAAAAGAACTACAGTTATGAAAAAGACAAATACAACTAGCATTAAAAACCTAACTGCATAAATCTATTTTCCTAGCTACACGTTTAAACTAAAACATGTAATATTATAGATCTACTGCATAGAAAATTTCACAAGGATTTGAAAAAGTCCTCATTTACTATTTTACGATTTTTCTACAATTTACTACGAATTTTCAAAGTGGAGCATTCAAATCTGTAAAAACCAGAGAAAAGGGATTGAAATCTTTCATCGGGGACCCTGTGGAAAACACAAATTAAACATCAGTGAATCGATCCTTCTTGGCACTATTCACTCAAGTCTATATCCTTGCAGTTACACCCCTGGAAAAGCTTCAATTGATGAGCGATGCCCTTTTCCTTCTTCAACTCAAGCAGAGCAGCAGAGATGGCCGGAGCTCGCTGTTACGGCCGGCAAGGACGGTGCCGGTGGTGAGCTTCAAGGCCGCGGCAAGCCCTAGCCTACGCGCACTTGCACAGGGCTCTGGCTTGGCCGGCATTGGCCTGGGAATGTCCAGCCACGTGCAACCGCGGCGCCGGCGAACTGAGCAGGCGGGGCGAGCTCTGGAGCTTGGTTGGCTGGCTGCAAAGGAGGGCCATGGTCGCGTTGTGGTTGAGGCTCTGCTGTACAAGGCTGTACGGTGATTGGCTGCGAGGACGAAGAAGGGAGCAGCGGTGGCCGCGAAGCTCGGTGGCGGCGTCCATGGCGCACGCGCGTCGCTAGAGAGCGAGGAAGAGGCAGAGAGGGTGCGAGTGAGAGAGGGAACAGGGCTCGAGCTCGGCTACTAAAGCGACACGCGATGGCAAGGTGGCGAACGGACAACGAGCTGGGACGCTACGCGGCATCAAGCTTCAGAACAATCGGCCACGTTCAAAATTTCCGAACTGCATGAACTTGATCAAATACCACCGCGAAAGTACGACTGAAACTCCGACTTTCCCATCCTATAACTCCTGATCCGGTGGTCCTGTGATCAAGGAACAAGAGGCAAAGTTGTACATCTATGTGAGGTGAACAATATTGCCTTAAGGATCAAGAGCTAAGTCAGCCTAGATTTGGAAATATGGATCTTCAAAGGAGGGTATCTCAAAACCGAATTCTGCAGTTCAGTTACGGGCTGACTGAAACCGCATTCTTCTCCCTCTTCTGCTCCCTAGTACATCCAGTTTCAGCAAAACGTCATTAATACACGTTGTATATCTATGGGAGTACTACAACTTCTATTAAAGGTTCATGAATTGGTTCGGACTGGTTTGGGAGATACAGAGCACCAAATAAGCTAACCTGAAACTAAAATTCAGCTGCTGATTCAAAGTTTGAGCTTCGGTTTGACTTGCTTACAAGCTGATCTAGCTCTTGGTCCAAACATAAAGTTTGTTGTACATAACATGGACTCCAACTTTTATTTAGGTTCCACTGCCATGCAAACACTCTAAGCTATAGTTCAAACCAAGTCAAAGTAGCATCACTATAAAGCTTAAATCACCCTTTTTGATCTATTGGAGCATTTTCTGGCCACCTGCTCAACATGAACCCTTCATAACTTTTTTTCATGAGTGCAAGTAGAGTTGTTTGAGCAAGGTACCAAGGTTTGGTTGACTTCATAGGTTTCCATCCACTTGATAAAGCAATTCATGCAAAGATATGACTTATCATTTCATGTGACTTCTTGATTCCAAACTTCACGAAACTTTTCCATGGATCAATAAAGATGGATATTGATGCGAGACACATGAAACAAGTACATCCAGTATTTCCCAAGCATACTCTTTAGAAAGGGTAGCATGTAAGCAATGGTGCATGGTCCAAGTTTAAGTGGTGACTCATTTTCATATGTTTAACCTAACATCTTCATCACTACTTAACATGCCATGGTTGAGCTTAAACCCATTGCTTCATTGGTGACAAACACCTAGGGTGTTACAAAGTCTTCTGAGCCATGAGCTCCTCCCATTGACTAGGAGTTATGTTGCCGAACTCATTGAAGAAAGTTAACCCCTTTTGGATATACTTCTTGTTGAGCTCCAACCTCCAACGTCAGAATGACTCTCCCATGATTTTGAAAGCATTTTTTTCCCAGTTCTTGCTTACCCTCGGAAATCTAAAATTGAGCTTCAACTGCTAATCCCATAGTTCATCCTTTTTCTTCTCTAGTACCTCTTTCTAGTTAGGGATTACTGGATTCAATTTATCTCTTACTAGGGCCCCGATCGCATTACGGAATCGTCCTCTGAATTCCTTTGGCTCAAGGATCTCCCCTACTAGCCCGACCTCCATTATCATATAGCATGCCTTATCTGGATATTGGTTTGCTTTTCTATCACCTTATTTCCTCTTTGGCTTGGTAGTCGTGTTCGTAGTTGTGTCTTGAGGTTGTGGAGCAGAGGCCTCAATGTCCATCTCTGTGGTTGTTGCCTCTGCTCTCCTTTCCTCTACTCCATCTTGTCTGACGAGATGTCGCGGATATCGACGTCGTCTTTTCTGAGTTTTAGGAGGGACCTGTATATACGATAGGTCAAAGTGTTAGCAGAGGTAACATAGTCAAAGCTTTAGCAAATTTTATAAGCTATGGCTTTATCCCTACCTCCTCGTTTAGGTTAAAATCCTTATTTAAATCTTCCTCCATTGGCCTCCTTCTGGCTTCACGTGGGAAAGGATCATCAGGACTTACATATCCCTCTTCCGAGTCCTCATCATCGTCATCCTCTTCTTCTTCGCCTTCAACAACCTCTCCTGCTCTTCCTTCTGCTCCCCCTTCCTCCTCGTCACACTGCTCCTGAGTAAGCATCACTTCTAGATCCTTTTCTAACTCATTATCGAACTGCTCCTGAGTAAGCTGGTCCTCTAGTGCTTGCTTCTTATAGGTTGGCTGCTCATCATGCTCGGGGCATCGGGCTGCACTGTCGGGTGTCCGCGACATTATTTCACGCTTTGTTCTAATAGATGCAAGAAAGTGTGCTTTAGGTACGTGAGAAGGTATAAGAAATCAAAAAGGTCTATAAACCAAAGTTGTCCTATAAAACAACAATATATAAAAAAAACCGAGTAATAGCTGTAGTAGAGGCATCATTTGATCATGAACTTGGAGCATCAAGGCATCATAACAGAGAAGAGAGGAGAAGGTAATGTAGGACGACTAGTAATGATACCAAGTTCCTCACAAGTTTTTGATCATTAGCTCATATTCCATATAATGTATGGATTTGGACAATTTCATAATCGGCAAAACAAAGGAGAGGAGAGGAGAGGGGAGATTTGGTAAAAGAAAGCAACAACTGCTTAGCAAACATAGAGCAGCAGCTGATGGCAAAAATAGCCAAAAAACAGTAGTGGCCCACTGGTCCTACGCCCCCAAGCTGCAACAATGCTAAGATTATCAAAAAAAAGAGAAGACTATTAGATTGGATGAGATCTAAAAGGAAAAAATTATCAGCTCAATCACACATCATTAGTGGCCGATCGAGTAGCATTAGGGTACCATAAATTGTGCAACGCAATCACACAACAATAGTGCCTCATCAAGTAGCATTAGGGTACCACAAATTATGCAAAGAAGGACAAAAGTAAAAATCTTCCGTACAACAAAGCCTGCTGGAAGGAGATTACTGGAAGGAGCCTGTTGGGTGGATGGCAAGGGCTGATGATTACAATTCTCTAGGGGCAATAGGTGAACTACTGAGAAAAAATAGTGACATGAAGACATTAAAAGATATTGGGAGTGAAGGGGCAAACAAAACTGAAAAACTTCTGAGGCTAAAGGTGGGCAGTTGCTTTCATATGAGGCAAAATGTTTTATCAACAAGAATTATGTAATAGCTTGGAGATTAGTATATACAGTGTAGTTTTCTGCTCCTTACAGGAATTAGAATCCTCTAGTCATGTATGTCTTCTAAGAAGGATAAATAATTTTGATTGCTATTTCTTTGAAAATGAAATCTTTTTGTTACTTGGTGATTTTATGGTATGAAAACACAGATCATTCTACAATTAGTTGCCACTTGCCAGATGGTTGAACAATTCTATTAGGGTGAATTTGCAAGAGGTGTATTTGTATATGACTTTTTTTTGTTCAAATCTATTGTAAATTTTAAGGAATTGTATCCTAGTCAAAATAGTCTCCTACGGTTGGTGTTATTATATAGAATGAATTAAATAATAAATTTTCTTGTTCTTGCCGGGCAAAATAATAGCAGAAGGCTGAATGAAATTAGGCCACTTATAAGCTGAAATATTTGTACAACTTGTATAACGTACTTTTGACTTCTGTTGTACAGAATGCAATGAGGACCAGTCATCTTAGGTTGGCTGCATTGGAGCAGGAGAAAGCTGATGAAAATGTCCAAAAGCTTGTGGATAAACAAACGGTTAGCCCCTGTTCCCTTTGGCGTGCTTGCATGTGGTTTTCTTTTGAATGACATTCGTCTTGTTCGCTTTGTACTATGTGGAAACTGCAGAGAGAAACAAAAACTATTCTAGACGACTTTTTGAGGTTAAACACACAGTTGGAGATGAAGCAGAAAGTTGAATTGGAAATAAAGCACCTGAGTGGGAAACTGCAAGTGATGGAGCTCAAGCTAGGTGATGAAGATCCAGAATCCAGAGTGAAATAAATAAACTAAAGGAGGAGCTCAATGAGAAGATCGAAGAACTGAAAGATGCGGAAAGCTGGAACCAAGTTTTAATCAGTAGGGAAAGCAAGATCAGTGATGAGTTGCGAGAAGCTCGAGAAGCGTTGATAAATGTATGATAATTTTTATGTCATACCAGTGTACTGCTCAGTTTCAGTGAGTGTTTTTGTTTACGAGAACTCATGTTTGGTCCAATTGCAGTCTCTGCAAAGTTTGCCTGGAACCGCAAGCTGCCGGACACACATAGGCGTCAAGAAACTTGGTGAGCTTGACCCCAGTGTGTTTCTAAGCCTGTGCAAGCGGAAATTTCCAGCAGCAGACGCGGAAGCTGAAAGTGCTAGTCTTTGTTCAAAGTGGCAGAATGAAATTGAAAATCCAGAATGGCAGCCTTTCAAGGTTATTATTGTTGATGGAAAAGCATCGGTAAGATGGAATCTTTGCCTTTTGTTGAACATGTATCTATATTGGTATGAATTGTTTATAATGGAGCATTGGTGCTGCACGTGCCTGTGTAGGAAGTACTCAAGGAGGATGACAGGAAGCTCCGAGAACTAAAGGAGCTGGGTAAAGAACCCTATGCTGCCGTAACAAAGGCGCTGCTGGAGCTGAAGGACAGCAATGGCAGCAGGAAGGATCCATTCACTGAGCTGTGGAACTATGACGAGTGTCGGAAAGCAAATATGGTGGAAGGAGTTCGGTTTGCTTTGAAGCTTTGTAACGTGAGCAAGACGAAGGGCAAGAGAAGCCGCTGACTTCAACGCCATTGTTTCATGCTGAATGAATGGACACTACCGGAGACTGGTTCATTGTCGAGTGCCATGTGGTTTGCCGAGTGTTGTTTTTCGGACACTCGGTAAAGACGTCTTTGCCGAGTGTTTTTTTTGACACTCGGCAAAGAGGCTCTTTGCCGAGTGTTTCTTTTAACACTCTGCAAAGAGTCTCTTTGCCCGAGTGGTTTTTTAACACTCGGCAAAGAGCTTCTTTGCCGAGTGTTTTTTTAAAGAGCTTCTTTGTTGAGTGTTTTTTTTTTGACACTTGGCAAAGAAAATTTCAAAGCACATTTTGAAGCAGTAAATTAATTCAAATGAAAAAGTTTTCAACTACAAAGTTGTATAACTCATCAAGATGTACAATGTTTGTTTTGGTCTTTTCTTCATACGACAAAGTGAAAATAAATTTGTTCACAAATCTAACATATCTCTATTGTAGTTTATGAAACTACAAGAGATATCTCTATTGTAGTTTATGAAACTACAAGAGAGATAAGATTTGTGAACAATGTTAGAACGACCATGTCGGATGAACAGATGATCAAACAACTAAAATAAACTTTGTAGATCTCGAAAAGTTATGAAACTTTGTAATTGGTAACTTTTTGATTTGAAAACATCTTGTCATGCAAAACTGCGTTTGAATTTCAAAATTTTAAAATTCGAACTTTTGAAACGACCTCGGATGAAAAAACAACCAAAATAAACTCTGTAGATCTCAAAAGTTATGAAACATTGTAGTTGACAACTTTTTGATTTGAAAACATCTTGTCATGCAAAACTGTGTTTGAATTTCAAAATTTTAAAATTCAAATTTTGTAAACGACCTCGGATGGAAAAACTTCCTAAACTAAAAGTGTAGATCTCGAAAAGTTATGAAACTTTGTAGTTAACAACTTTTTGATTTGAAAACATCTTGTCATGCAAAACTGTGTTGAATTTCAAAATTTTAAAATTCAAATTTTGTAAACGACCTTGGATGGAAAAACTTCCTAAATTAAAAGTGTAGACCTCGAAAAGTTATGAAACTTTGTAGTTTACAACTTTTTTATTTGAATTCGTTTAGGGTCTCAAACATGCAATTTACACTCGATTTAGTATAATATATTGGGAACTAAAACGGAATCCAGACACAAGTGAGAGTGTGGTGTAGTGGTAGAGGATGTACGTGCACAGCGGAAGGTCTCGGGTTCGAATCGCGTCGGCCGCGTAGCCATGAAATTCACGCGAAAAATGTCGTAGATGGGTGGGTGCTGGCCGGTGGGAGCCTCCATCGATAAAAAAAATCCATTTTTTTTGTGTGTAAAAATCCCCAATTTTTTCGGGTTTTTTTCGGTTTCACCTTTGCCGAGTGTCGGGCACTCGGCAAAGGCTTTGCCGAGTGCCCGATAAAAGACACTCGGCAAAGTTGGCTTTGCCGTCACTGTTTTTGGCGAGTGCTGTTCGCCGAGTGTTACACTCGGCGAACCATTTGCTGAGTGTTTTATGTCTTTTGCTGAGTGTTTCGGGCACTCGGCAAACTCAAGGAGTCCCGTAGTGGGAGGTCCTAACCAAATAGTTATTCTATTTTGGAGTAAACTGGAAGTGCAGTTAACCTGGTGCATTTTGCTTAGGACTATTACCTTGTATGTTGCAACTCTGAACCAAGCGTGTCCCTAACACTATGTATGACAAATGATAGTTTTTTCCCACTTTTACTAGAAATCCTGAAGATGAGACAGCTTGGTCAACAAAACACACAAAGAGTTGTTGAGGAGAACCGGAAGCTACGATATGATATCCAGGACATGGTGGATGCACTTGATGCAAGAAACAAACAAATTAAGGAGTCGGAACATGACAAAAAGAATCTTGAGCAGGAGAAGCTAATAAGGTGGGCAATTGCTTTCATCTGAGCCAAAATGTTTTATCAACAAGAATTATGTAATAGCACTAATATTGTAGCAGCAAATTCATGAGATTCAACAAATCATCATTGCACGAAAGCCCTTTGCCTCAGTTTTGAAGTCACATTATTCATCTCATGAGCAGATAGGAGAAACAAAGAAAGATAGAGATGAGCGAGAGGGAGGGAGGAAGGTTCCAGAAAAAAAATCTTAGTTGGCCCCAGGACTACTAGGTCCTGCCCCCAAACTAAAACAAATTAAAAGACAACTCATTTGCCGAACTAGAAGTAGTAGTAGAAGCAATTTTTTGGAGGTGCTATCAAATTAGTAAAAAAACATCACCGACAAAGGGCTTGTGCTCAGTACAAGTAGTAGTAGTAGTATAAAAAACATCACCGACAAATGGCTCTGAATCAGTTTGGAGATTTCCTCCTAAAACAATCGTATTCCACGTCAGATTACTTACATACTCAAGCCAAAAGAACTAAAAACATAGCATTTTATGGCCTAAAAAGAGAACTGCTACTTTCTGAACAGATATGGACTTCAGAATTTCATAGCAGCAAGTACATACCCAGATTCGCATATAGATCAAGTTTCATAATTTTTGAACAACTACAACAGGAGATATGAAAAAGGCAAAAGTTACAAGCCTAAATAAGTTAGCATACTTAGAGAACAGATCTGGGCCTAAGAAAATTACTGCAGAATCTAAATACTCAAGATAGCATACTGTAAAGTTTTCATACTTTTTGGAGCCATAAAACTTCAGTTGCTGGACAAAAAAACATATAACTAGTTAGGTTGCTGGACAAGTATAAATGTTTACTGCCTTTACTTTTCATGTTCTCAAACAAGGCCATTGCAGCAAGAACAATAATACTACTGCCACCACCACACCTCACCAAATTGAGTTCACAACTAATGCAAAGTATCACATTACCAAACTGATGCAAAATAAAGATTTATAGGAGCCAATTAAATAGCTAATGAGCCATATTTCTAATAAACAAAGAAAGGAATACCATAATGCCTACTGTTCAGCTGCAAAAAAATAGCAGCTTTGGTTTAACTATAAAAAGAACTATAATCTTAGCAAAATTCCCGATGTTCAAATTAACTGGAACTCAAAGAAGCTAATAATCAACATATATGACCTCCATTCACACAATTATTTTAGTTTCACCATAAATTCACACAATTATTTTGGTTTAACTAGAAAAAGAACTATAAGTGCATGCTCTGTTCTTCCTCAGTAACCCATCACTGTAGGAATTGAGGCGAATGAGTGTAACACCCTAAAATTAGCTACTTTCTAAAAAGAGTAAAATGATTTCTGTTAATTGTTTTGTGCTCATAAAAATATAGGTAAAAGAAAATTTTCTTTAAATTAAAATCCAACATAAGGGTAGCAACATGTTTGCGCATACATGCCATTGCATTGATACTTTTGTGATGAGTGGTTTGGAAAATAAATTCAAATCTCAATCTTTTAAATATTCCTTTCAAGTAGTAGTTTAAAAAGAATTTGAAAACTTGCAAAAACAAAAGTTAGATAAGATACCTTGTTTTCAAAATCCAAAGGCTTGGAAAAGGTTTTAAGATGCGTTAGAACGATGCCTCTCTTTTCGGGAATCTTTCCGACCTTTTTCGGGATTAAATTCCTATTTCTTGGAGCTTTGTCTTTTTTCTCGATCAATGCAAAAGTCTTTTTCGGGAGCTAAAACCATTTTGGTTGTGTTCCTCATTCTTCCATCTATCCTTAGAAATTTTCTAGTATTTTTTCGAAGCTCAGAGATATTTTTTTCGGAGCCTAAATAGTAATTCCCGATTTTCTGTAATTATTTTAATTCCGAAAATCAGTAATTCCTAAAATATCTCTGCTTTCTAAAATCTCCCAACCCTTTGTATATATATATGCCGGCGTAGCCCTCGACACGGGGATTCTAGAAGTATGATCGGTTTTTTGAGACGCCACTCGTAGCCCCACAGATCGGACACCGAAGTTCGGAAAAGCTAGGTTTCCGGCAAACTCTTCACCACCATCACAAGGTAGATCTCGTCGTTCTCTTCACCATAGCGTATCTCTTTTATCGAATCCATCACCGTTTGACCATTTCCCGTTCGTTTTTCTTTCTCCGGTGAGGTATCCGGCGAACTTTACTATGGATTTCTCTATTTCAGACCATCTCCGGCCATGGCCGTGGCCCTCCTCGCCTAGGGCCTGGCGTCGCCGCCCCTGGCCCTCACCCGCGCCACCACCCAGAGGGCCCCACCACGCGCCCTAGCCCATGCGCCTGCGCCCTGGCTCCCAGCCCTAGCGTGTGTGAGGAGTAGGATGCAGGCCGTGCCTGCAGTGGCCGGTAGCCACCGGCTCAGCCGGGCCTAGTCCAGCCCGCGTGGGCCCCTGAGCCGTGCGGTCCCGTGCCGCCGCTGTCTGGCCAACCAGGCAAGCCCCGGCTAGGCCCTCCCTCCCCATGCACGCGCCGGCAACAGCATATGGCCATGACCGGCCATTGCTATGTACGTACGTACTGCACGCAACAACAGAGAGGTAGAAGATAAAACTATTTACGAGTTTGCCACCAGTCTTTAAATAATCATAGTTTATTCGTTTTAATTCCGTTTTAGGTCGTTCTAGTTGCCTTAGTTTTGTGCCATGGAGATCTACGCAGTAGCACTATTAGTTTTCATATCACATGTTTATGAAGTTATTTTATTAAAATATTAATTGTGTTATAATTAATTAATTGTTGTTTAATAAAAATCGACTTAGGTATTTGATTTCGATTCGATTGCGCGAGTTTCATCGCAATGTGTGATACGTGTTAGCAGCGTCATCCAATATAACAAATGTTTCTAAATTTTAATATAAGGTATTAATTTAATTTACATTTATTCAATAGCTTTTAATTAAAAGCAACTACATAGGGTTAACTTCGTTCTTGTCATGTTAAATCGTGCCAATGTAAGGTACACATCAGTAGCAACGTTTATCATGTCCCATGTTCATAATATTATAATTTAAATATTAATTTAATTAATGATTACGTAAACTTGTTTCTAAATAACAACAATCTAGGAAAGTATCTACCTTTTATAATTACTTGTTAATTAATGTCAACTTAAATATATATTTATTAATTATAATTTGCTTAGTTTCAACATGATTTATATAAAGTCAGTTAAGATGCTTTCACATGCATTTTTCTCTTGCAAAGTTAAAGTTAATTTGATTAAATGATACGTGCATGTTTATGTATAAAATATGACTAGTTCAACTCGGCTTTTAAAATAAAATGTGATTTTATGTAATTTGAATTAATATGCTTCATATAGTTTTGCTCAATTAAAATAAATCAAGCATATAAGCTTTTTCTCTCTTTTGTAATATAAAATTCCGATAGTCGTTTCTTTTTAATGATAGTTCTGTTATCGGTGATTCTTGCGTTTCTGTGATTGTAGCGACGATCCCACTCTTTTAGTATATTGTTTCATAAGCAAAATCTTTCGGTAGATGTATCTTTTTAACCGTAGCTCCGATTAGCGTGCCTCTCGCGACTGCGTGTTCATAGCGATGCGTAGAATCGTATTTCAAACTCTTTTACTTATTTTTCTATGATTGGTGTATTGTTCTGATATTGATGCAATTGTATGCTTTGCCTGTATGTGTATGGATGTTGTGTTGTGTTCTACGATTACGTCCAATCGGTGAGATATACGTGGTGATCCAGAAGAAGAAGAAGGACGTTGAAGATTAAAGCTTACTGAAGGATCGGTACTTAAGGCAAGTGTACCAAAGGCCCCTTGTACCTATGAATTATTACACTTCATATTCATGCATGTGTCTAATTTGATATACCCTTAAGTACTTTACCTAGATGAATACTTGTACCACATATCCTTGTTATCTAGGGTTTGGGTATGTATTTTGGATAGATGCTGTAGCGCAGAACATGGAATAATAGCTAAACATGACTAAAGACATTATGCAATATGATAACATGAAGTTTTTTTAGTAACAGATAGGGGGCTAGTGTGCGGGGTTGAGTACTCTAGTGCCTCTCCATAAGGACTTAATCCTAAAGCAGTAACCCAGGAGGTTCCGTACAACCCCAAGTGTCATATGGCTCTGACTTTAACCTGTTAACTAGATTGTACCAGCTCGTCTGTAGCTTCTAGTAAGGGTAAGAGGGTATCTTTCCTTTTTCTACAAGGATGTGTGTACCGTGCTGCGTTGCCTACGCATGCCACTCCTTAATAGCTACGACTTGTTAGTGCAACTAGCTAAGGGTTACATAGTGAAACCCTACCACATTTCCTAGGTAGAGGTGTAGTGGGCTTTGCAAACCCTGGCATTGGGAATCATGGCTCGGTGGGTAAAGATGTACAAATTCTATAGAAATATTTGACCTGTTATAACAGCCGTGCTCACGGATATGAGCGGTCTAGATCCTTCAAGATTAGTGGTTACTGTGGATGGTGGATGGCTGGGAATTGAGATAAACTTGACTATACTTTAATATCACTTGGGAATTGGGATTGTTCACTAAAGTAGTGATATAGGATGCTAAAACTTGATCAACTAAAATTGCGAACCGCAATCAAATAGTGTCAAGCCTTTTGAGCCTCATAGATCCCTTTGATATACTTGCTAAGCATGGTGAGCTTACACTTGCTTTACATCTAATGAAAATCCCAGATGGGTACCGATTGCTAGTCTGGAGGAGCTAGGCTTGTTGTCAACCAGTTAGTCGTCCCTATGGATTTGGAGTCTTCGCCTGAAGATCGGAGTTGTCTTTCCACTGTCTATACTCTGAGGTTATATTCTTTATACAAATACGTTATGTATTTAAGCATTGTCTATTGATAGTATCCTTATTTGTGGCTATATGTGAGATTTGACTTTCTAGGCTCACATATAGTGTGTATCTGGTTTTGTCTTTAAAACCGGTGTGATAAAGTAGTATCAGAGCAATGCTGACTGTAGGACGCAAGCCTAGTTAGCA